TGCAATATAGGAAGACAGATATTACGTAACAGTTCAGTACTCCTTTCTTTATTTCTGTCTCTTAATACTCTGCTTAGCTTTTGGAATGATTCTTTGACTATCTCAATGCGTCTTCAGATTTCAGCGTCGCATATTCCGCCCCCACCCCTGTTAGAACACTTCCCAGATATTTAAACTTCTGTACTTGTTTGATTTTGGTATCTCCAATTTGTAATTTGCCCTTTGGGGTCATCCTTTTGCTAACAACAATGCATTCAGTCTTCATGCAGTTGATGTTTAATCTTTTATTTGCACTTTTATTTTCATTATCTTCTGTAGGATCTTTTATATCAGTGTATTTATTTGACTTAATTAAAAAATGTTTTTGCGTTTCCTTTTCATTTTTATTATTATTTATTTAGTTCGGCGTTTTACACCAGAAAATACTTCATTGGCAACCTACATTTTCATGCCCCTAAAAGTTAAAATTAGTGATGACATCTCCAGCAACTTGAACTTTTCAAACTTGATTGAAAAGAGCAAAAACAAAAATCGCACTTGTCGGAGTTAACTCCTCCTTAATTTTCTAATTTTGTAATTGTCCAAATTGTTCCTAGGGGACGCTATTCCTAAACTATAAATACTTGAGAATACTTCGTTCCCTATCTCTTTTTTCCACTTTTCAGCGGACACGCTTGAAAAAATGTAGTCTCTCGTGGAGATATCCGTTTCTCACTTGTGGGAAGACGCCATGGCACATTATGTACACACACACACACGTACATACGAACATACTTTGAAACATGAACTCTTTACGCTCATGCACACACACACACACACACACACACACACGTTAATGTTTTTGCCTTTTGTAAACCGTCTTTGTTGTTTAATACATATACCTGCTTGTACATATATATAGGTTCTTGGTTGTTTTCTTTTACATTTCTTTTGGGTGGGCTCATCTTGAGTTCGCCATGTTTGTAGTGGACCTTATTTCAGGAGACCACACGTGTTCATATCACAACGCGTAACCCCCCCCCGGACCGCTACACACTTTCGGATGCTATTTTAAATTTTTTTTTTCTCTGATGTTGAACATTCATTTCTATTTCTTCGAGTTCTTGTTATTGCATTGAAAGAATGTTAATACTTTACTGGCCACCCCATTCACTAAAATGCCCTACTTATTAGATGTTATCCTTTTATTTGTCACCAAAAGTGTATCACAGTCTTGCATTGTCACATTCTCTGTGGCGCGAACTATGGTCGTTGCTTCGTAGTGGGTCGCATCAGCCGTCTTCAGATCAATAACCCAGAGTCGCACCGTCTCGATTTCTCACTGAAAACTCAAAAGCCATTTTTTCGCCAAGCGAAAGGCACAACATAATGGCACCTATATCGGTTAATTTTATTGCCTCCAACAGGGAAATATTGCCGACTATATGTCAGTGACGGAGAGGCTACAGTTAGTGAGAGAACTTCCTTACCCTCAATATTTTGTTACCAAGCCAAAAACCTCGCTGAAGAATCTTGTTTTATTTGATTTCCTATTTTATTTACCAGGAAATCTCACCTTTTCGCTAGTTGATTACTCAGTTCACGGACCAATAATAATAATAATAAAACTCGCCAAATCCTGCTTCTTTTATTTTTTCTTGCGTGATTGTGACTGCCAACTGAACCTGTCAAACATATCTTATTTCAGAAATTGCTTTGTGGCTGTTGCTAAGACTTTTTTTTCATCTAAACCTTTAATCTAAAATTCATCTTCTTTATTCTACACCCACCTTGTTATAATAAAAGCATTGAATTCTAAAGAAAACAGTCTTGTATTTTCGTTTTTGCTGAATTTTCCTCATCTGTTCTTTCTTTCATGTTTAATTTTCTTGATATTGACAAAGGTTATGAGTTTGGCACGAAGCCAAAATAAAGGGGAATAGCTAAGAAACTAATCTCCCGCTGGTAGGAAAGAAATTCTCTCACTGGATTCTATAATGTCTTTTTTTTTTCTTTGTTTACTAAGCTTAGTTTAATCTTAATTTAAGTAAGTAAAGAAGTGTGAACGGTGTTAATATTCGTGGTGTTATGAAGAAAAATCAACATATAAATTGTCTTTATCGGCATTTGAACATTGACCACTGGCACCAGTCGGAAATATCTGATATCGATACAATCCTTGTCTGATCTGGCTTTTTTTTTTTTTTTTTACCTTCGATAAGTTTTCTCTTTAAATTTTTGTCTCCATTTTCTTTCTTTTTGCAGATTTTTTAAAAATCTCTTATTCCCCCCACCCAGTCCCGTCCAAGTTTTTTTCTTCATTTCTTTTCAGCCTTCTCGATTGTTCTTCCCACTTTTTCCATTCTTTCTCTTTAATTCATCTTTACCGCCTTTTAATTCTTTTCCTTGGTCGGGCGAGGAAATCGTCAAACCATGTTCAACCCACCCTAGAGTTTTATCATTTCGCTTTCAAGCTGCCAGTAAAAGGACGATTCCACTCTTAGTTGAGATCTATCTCTAATATCATGACATGTCTCTGACATGGCACGGGAGTAGACAGTGAATGAGTAAATAGTTATGACGGAAAAATATCACCTTGGCAGTTAAAGCAAAAATATATTTCAAGCACTAACAGTTGTGAACCCCCCGCTTGAAATTCTTCTTTTCTAGTTACCTTTTAGACCTTGTGCCAAACATGATATAATCAAACATACTTCTTGCTATATTTCAGCCTGTCGATCAATTTTCCAACTGATCGATGCGAGAAAGTCCTATTTGGACGCCCATTGTACTGTGTTTCTGAACAAGTTAATGTTGTCAACCAAATTGAACGGGTTAACATTGTCAAACAAAATTCTGACAACTTGTGTCAGACTATGCTAAACATTGCAAACAATTATTCCTACTTCCATTTCACTTATTAATTCCCAATACAATTTTCTAATTTTCTCTGAATTGCTTTGTTAATTTAGATTTGAATATCATTTTTCGTTCTTCAGTCTCTTTCACGAAAGATTATTCTCATCAGGAAATTCCTTAGACCCTAAGAGTTTCATATATGTCTCTAAATGCATATTTTCCCTTTCAGCTTGTAAATTTCTTTCGTACATGTTTTTGTGAAAAACCTTAATTATCTTCTTTTTTTTAAAAAAATCAGCTGTTTTGAATGGAATATAATTTGACTATTGAATTCTGTATGCAATCACACTATAGACGGGGGCAACGTTGATTTTAATTGACGTTATGATTATGCAGGAATCAAAGTAATCAGTGTTTTGTTATATATTTTCCAGTATACAAGAATACTGGACCTTTCAATTTTCTATTTAGATTATAGCTTTTTATAAATTTATGCTGTAGATCCGAAATCTGGAACCTACTATTGATTACTGACCCAGAAATATATGAAAGGCTTAAATTACATCAACTACGTCATGTTGCTCAGGTCGGTTAGTTGGTAGGTAATATTATATAACACACCTCCACAGAGCAGCGTTTAGCAAGCACTATCAGTATAACCTGTCTTTGACCGGGTCTTTCATTATTGGAAATTTTTGCCGTTCAATTGGAGCAGTTTAAGGTTAAAGTCAGCCCACTCGAAAATCAATATTAGTAACAACATTTGGGTGCAACTAATGCACATCCCCAAATGGGGAGAGGGTAACAATTTGAGTTGGGGTGGTTGCCCTGAAAAGGGAATTTTATAATAATAAATACTATTATTGTAATAATTGAAACTATTATTATTAAAGTTTTATATAAGATATATATATATATATATATATATATATATATATATATATACAGAACAGATAATAAATAGTAAAACGTTGTTGTGAGTTATAATGGACAGGAAGTAGTGGAGAGCCATTGTCACCAACAATTTGGACTCAAAACCGGCACTGAAGAATTATCTATCAAACAAAAATTTTCATCAAAATCGGATCAAAACTGTGGAAATGCAAAACAACATCTGATCACACACACACACACACACACACACACACACACACACACACACACACACAAATATATATTTTAAGAATTATAAATATAGATATAATTAATTATATAAATTTGAATGTATAATAATAAATAATATTATTGTCATAAATTAAACTATTTATTTTTATTAAAGTGTTTATGAAAGATATATATTCAAGAACAGATAGTAAATAGCAAAACGTTGCTGGGAGATATAACGGACGGGAAATAGTGGAGAGCCATTGTCGCCAACAATTTGGACTTAAAACCGGCACTAAAGAATTATCTATTAAACAAAAAATCATCAAAATCGGATGAAAACTGGAAATGCATAAACATCGAATCACACACACTTTTACATACACACACACACACACACATTTTGAGAATTCTAGATATAGATTGCCAAGTGACCTGTATATTTCATAACGTTATAAATACTTTTAGTACTAAAAGGTGATTAGAATGACTAAGTGAGTTTTACTTCCAACTTCATGCCTTAAATCTGTCACATTTGTCGTCATCTTGCGTTAGAGTTTCTTTGAGTCATTTTGTGGTAAAAAAAAAAATGAAAAATGCCGAATTATGAAAATGATTGAATTCTCAGCAAACACGATTTGTTGATGTTTTATTTAATTAACACTCTGTATATTTACAATAATTAATGTAGCTTTATTTTTTTAAAGTTTTTTTTTTCGCGTCAACACCGACTCGTTGTTAATCCTTCTTTTCAAAGTAAATATGAAGCATCCAAGTATCTTATATGAAGCAATGCGATAGAGCCTTTGAAAATAGGAGTGAGGCGTTGCCGGATTATTTTAGAAGTAGCGAACTGAGCAACATTTGAAAGTTTAGAGCTAATAAACTTCATTTTCCCCCAAGCAAGGCGATAATGCGACTAGGAAGCAGCAGGTTAAAGAGAGCGAAAGAGAATGAGAAGACTTTAGTGGGGAGGAGTGAGGAAAGATAAAGATAAAAGAACAGGGTTCAGGAAGGCAGAAGATGGCGATTGACGTTGCATTTAAATGTTTGAAGATTGTAGGTGGCAGGGAGTAAAGAAATAGGAAGGGAGTTCCACAGGCGAGAAGTGCGAGGAAATAAACTGTTAGAATAGAAGTGACGGTAAAACAGTAAGACCTATGTTGCTAATCTAATAGCACGCTTAAATTCATGTAGTCGAGGCACAAGGGGAGAAAAAGTTCATCTGAACAGTCGCCAAGAAAATATTTATAGAAAAAACAGGGAAGCCATGTCATGCTTGAATTCTCAATAGTATTCCAGATTATTTTGATCCATATTATTACCAGCTTGAAACGTTGCAAGTAGTGATATTCAAAATTTAATCGCTCTAGTCTTACAACAATATTGAAATCTGGTAAATCTGTTCAGTGTGTTAAGTAATACAATGTCTCTGGATTCGGAAAACCCGAAATTTTTCTGGAATTTCAATAAATATTTGCATATATTAAAAACTAGCATTTACGTCTGCTTTATGGCATCGTAGTGTTTTTACAATAATGTTCATCCTGTACAATGCTCAAAAGCCATTCGGGGTATAAGGTTACAGAGTAAGAGACAAAATTTGTAGAGATATGTGGTGGAGATAACGGTGATCGAGGAAGCATCTTTTTGGGGGTCGGTTCCACAAAGCAGCGTGGATGAAAAAGCGTAGCGGAGGAAAACAAAGTGACGAAGGGAAAAGGTCTCGAAAGAAACTTCAGATCCAAACTCAGATAAAATTTTGGGGGGCTTACAATGTTTAGTAATTACTTTTCAGCTTTTCATTGGCGTAATCAGTTTATCTTTTCTTCTTCTGTGTGCCGCGTCCCTTCAGGATATAGGAGATCATGACTCTCCACAACTTCCGGTCTCGTGTGACTCTTATCAGATTCACTCATTTTGCTAAGACTCCCATACTTCCGTTCCGCCATCCATTCACCCAAGCTCGTCAGCTACGTGGCTCGCTGCCTTCCCCACATCTTTCGTACCGTCATTTTGCTCAATGAGGGTTAAGATTTCCAAGTCCTTCTTCCTCGTTATATGTCCAAGGAATTGCGGCTGTTTTTCTTGATTTTCAGTATAAGTGTCCTTTTTGTTGCCATTTTATTTAAGACTTCTTACTTGCGCCGTTCATGGAATTTTCAATATCCTTCTATAGCATCACATTTCTACTGCCTCCAGTTTTATCCTCATCCGTGAGGAGATTGTCCAGAATTCACTGCAATATACGAGGATGGATATCACAGCAATCCAGCACTCTTTTCTTCAAACGATTTTTTCCAGTTTCTCAGCATCTTATTTTTTATTTTTTATCTTTCCGAAAATTTAATTGCATAAGGTCTCGTGAAAATTCTGAAATCAAGGAAGAAATAGCTGTATAAAAATTAGTCCTTATTTTTTAATCTAAAAATATCTTTAAGTCATATAGTTTGATTCTTTCACATACTTCGAAATCAGCGATGCATTGAAATCCTCATTTCTTGTACACAAACAAATATAATCAGACATTTCATAAAATAAGATAAAAACTTAGATCACAATATTGGATTGCAGTAATCCCGTAATCCTGAGTGTATAAGACGCAGGTTTTTTTTTTAAATCCAAAATCGTGTCCAAAGGTCTGCGTGTTATACATTAGTTTTGAACTCAACCCTATTTTTTGCAGGACTCAAAACGGATAAAATCGAGTCAAACTGGATTTATTTGTTTAACGAAGAGATAATATTTATCTAATGGAGTATTGCAACAAAGGGAAATAAACCAAAAGGAATAAACAGTATTTATTCCATTTTATTTCGATTATTTTCTCAATGTGTATTGACGATTTACTGGTCTTATACACCAACAATCATTATTTCATTTTCGTAATGCTTATGAATTAGAAAAATAAACAAAATGTAACGTTTTTTTTCTTTTTTCTCTTCCTTTTTTCTAAGTTTTTCTCCTTTTCTTTGCTCTAAAATAAGGTGCATTTTATACATTAAAATAAGTTTTTTTTCTGGAACTGTTTTTTCTCTGCTTTTTGAACTGCGTCTTATGCTCTTGAGTGATCTATACACAGGATTACGACATATTCCAATAAAAAAATGCATGCTCACCAACAACAGAGAAGTCGGATTTGTTTCAGAAAACTTTATTATCTCTAAAACCTGTTTATACAGAAAGAGTAATATTATTTAATCATAAATGATAATATATTGGAATCCGAGGAAATAGTTAACAACCGCAAAAGTAACAATAAACAATAAAAACATTTAATAATCAACAACAGGTGATAGTTTTGAGCAGAAATCAATGTGACAACAATTAGAAAACTTGAATTGTTTTTACCCCTGTACATATAGAAAATAGCTGTATACTCGCCCGCAAAAAAAGGGTGTATACTTGGAGTATTGTTCGAATCAGAAGCCGAAATCTTGTTATCAGCGTTGCTTTTTTTGGTATTTTTCTTTTTAGTTAAAAATTCCCTTGTTTATATATTTATTGGTAATATATTTTATTCATTGCCTGAATTTCTTAGATGAAACTTTGTGATTA